TAGACGTCTTTTGCTGGAAAAACAAAATCTATTTATTAAAATAAGATAAAAATAAAAAGGTAATTCAACCACAGCCTGCTATACCTGCCACAGGTAAAAAACTGCCCAAAAATCAGACGCCTGAAGATGTTCTGAGTGCAGGAATCTGACCTCTTGTGTAAACAGACAAAGGAGCGGTGACTCACACGGAGAATCGAACGCCTCCTCCTCTGCAACAGGAAGGAGCTGTGTGTCGGCCATCAGTGTTATGCAGCCTTTAGAGCTTCATACTGATGGAGGATTATTTAAAGGGGCGCTTTAATGGAGTGTTCCCTCTCCTGGAGTAAGTTATATAGGTTTTAGTGCATATAAATGGTCTGCAAGGGCTCAAATCCTCCATTGGACTCCGTTGTTTACTTCCAGAACATAGTGACATCTCTATGGGACCTGCGCTCCTTTTGGCAAGCGCTCCAACACATTGTTGGATATACACCTGAACATCATCGGGAGAGGACTCTTTAAAGTAGAGACACTACATACTGATATACACCTGAACATCATCGGGAGAGGACTCTTTAAAGTAGAGACACTACATACTGATATACACTGAACATCATCGGGAGAGGACTCTTTAAAGTAGAGGACACTACATACTGATATACACCTGAACATCATCGGGGAGAGGACTCTTTAAAGTAGAGACACTACATACTGAATACACCTGAACATCATCGGGAGAGGATCTTTAAAGTAGAGACACTACATACTGATATACACCTGAACATCATCGGGAGAGGACTCTTTAAAGTAGAGACACTACATACTGATATACACCTGAACATCATCGGGAGAGGACTCTTTAAAGTAGAGACACTACATACTGATATACACCTGAACATCATCGGGAGAGGACTCTTTAAAGTAGAGACATTACATACTGATATACACCTGAACATCAGCAGGAGAGGACTCTTTAAAGTAGAGACACTACATACTGATATACACCTGAACATCAGCAGGAGAGGACTCTTTAAAGTAGAGACACTACATACTGATATACACCCTGAACATCAGCAGGAGAGGACTCTTTAAAGTAGAGACACTACATACTGATATACACCTGAACATCATCGGGAGAGGACTCTTTAAGTAGAGACATTACATACTGATATACACCTGAACATCAGCAGGAGAGGACTCTTTAAAGTAGAGACACTACATACTGATATACACCTGAACATCAGCAGTAGAGGACTCTTTAAAGTAGAGACACTACATACTGATATACACCTGAACATCATCGGGAGAGGACTCTTTAAATTAGAGACAATACATACTGATATACACCTGATCATCAGCAGGAGAGGACTCTTTAAAGTAGAGACACTACATACTGATATACACCTGAACATCAGCAGGAGAGGACTCTTTAAAGTAGAGACACTACATACTGATATACACCTGAACATCATCGGGAGAGAACTCTTTAAAGTAGAGACACTACATACTGATATACACCTGAACATCATCGGGAGAGGACTCTTTAAAGTAGAGACACTACATACTGATATACACCTGAACATCAGCAGGAGAGGACTCTTTAAAGTAGAGACACTACATACTGATATACACCTGAACATCATCGGGAGAGGACTCTTTAAAGTAGAGACACTACATACTGATATACACCTGAACATCAGCAGGAGAGGACTCTTTAAAGTAGAGACACTACATACTGATATACACCTGAACATCAGCAGGAGAGGACTCTTTAAAGTAGAGACACTACATACTGATATACACCTGAACATCATCGGGAGAGGACTCTTTAAAGTAGAGACACTACATACTGATATACACCTGAACATCAGCAGGAGAGGACTCTTTAAAGTAGAGACACTACATACTGATATACACCTGAACATCAGCAGGAGAGGACTCTTTAAAGTAGAGACACTACATACTGATATACACCTGAACATCAGCAGGAGAGGACTCTTTAAAGTAGAGACACTACATACTGATATACACCTGAACATCAGGAGGAGAGGACTCTTTAAAGTAGAGACACTACATACTGATATACACCTGAACATCAGCAGGAGAGGACTCTTTAAAGCACGTTGACCACAAACACCCCGTTTACCAAGACGTGCACCACCACGCGGAGCGAAAACAGAAATGAGTGACAGCCGATCACAAAAACATCTCAGCATGGAGAAATCATTTCAGCAGAAAAACTCACGGAGACGTTTTTACAGCATCCCTACTATCACTGAGACAATGTAACTCAAATATTGTATATACTTTACTTGAGTATTTCCATTTTGTGCTAAATATACTTCCAGTTACTTCATTTAGAGTCAAATATTACAGAGGTCAACAGACAAACCTTTTGCAATTAAAACCTGCCACTAACAGAGGGCAGGATCTGTTCCTCTCTGATGCTTCTCTGTTGTCACCTTGAACCTGACATTTGTGCTATATGACGGCACCGAGTCTTCACACGGTGTTATAAAAACACGTCTGATATGGTCCACGTGGCCACACCGTGCACACAAAGAAGGCTCGTGCTGCATTTCGATTGGTCGGCTGTGACTTCACTGGAGAAGCTTTGTTGAAAACACCTCACATGATATCACTTTGTTTGGAAGAGACGGAAAAAGGAACTACTTTAAAAAGGCATAATACGGGTTATAAGGCATTTATTTATCCCACCTTGCACCCAGATGTCATGAGGAAGATGAGGCTGATGATAACCTATAAATAAACACGTGCTGAGAAGATTGAAATGATGACGCCATGTTTACTAGTTTTCTGTTTTTGTGCAGAAGGAAATGTTGATTTAGTAATCCAGTGTTAGAGAGTCACCAGTTTGTGAACAGCCTTCATTCATACAATGATCACAGCATGCATGTTTCAATCCAACGACCAGTTGATTCATGTGAACATGTATTAATCAAGCTGAGCGTTAAATGGATGAAAAACTGGTGGTAGTTCAGGACAAAAACCACTCATAGAGCATTGTGTTCCTCATCGATGAAGACGAACACCAACAGATTGATGCTTCCTGACACCAACTGTTCATGTTTTTTTTAAGATATGATGCATCAGTTCAGGATTTCTGGCAGCACATTCATCTTCGGGGGAACATTTAGTAATAAAACAGTTCGCCGTGCAGCACATTAACGTGACGTGTAACGAGAGGGATTATGATTTGGAGAAGCATCTCATCCTTTGTACGGCAGCGTGACGTCCCTCGGCTGCAGGCTGCCTCCTTTGTCTGGATCCAAAACACCAAACAACCCAAGACTTTCATTTTGTCATTTTTTTCACCACACATGACCCACATTTCCCAAACAAGGTGTGATGCATATTCAGCCAACGGTGCATCACACGTGTGATTTCAACCTGCCGGAGCAGATCAGACATTCGAACAAAGAACTGCCTCGGACACGATGTGCAGAATCACGCTTTAAAAGCATCTCTTCATCATCATCATCAT